GTCTTTCTCATGCCTGTTTATATCATCATCACTCTGAATATTTTGGCTTCTCTGTATTTCTCATTGTATTCTTTCTGCCTTTCTACCTTTTCTTTGAAGTTTCCTTCTTTTGGTGCTCTTCCTTTTATGTTGTCTGGGTCACTCAATGTTTTATGTCTTTTTACTGTAGCAGTTATGTTTTATGAAATTGTCTTGTAGATAAGACACTTAGCCCTCACCATCCCTCTGCCTTCCCAGCCTGTAAAAATAATAGTTGCTTTTTATACATGGGACTTAATGTTTAAAAAAATCACTTCATATGTATTATTTTATCTTAAATAAATATCCCTTTCAAATTACACTAATTTTTACTATAAGATTTATTTAAAAGCAGTGTTGTTATCTTAAAATATAATCTTTTGATACATTCAGTGTGTCAAGAGTTAAAATGAGTCCTCTCTTCCTAGAAGAGGAAGAGAAATCTTTGCCCTTTCATATGGAAAGATCAGCCTATGCCTCTTCCAAAATATGCAAAATTAAAATAAAGAGGTATTGAACATCCTTTCAGAACACAGTAATTTTAAATATAGGTGGTCTTTTCCCCTCCAGATTTCTCCTACTCTAGGTTTTGAGATCTAAAGGGCACTGAAGATTGCTTTGAATTACCTTTGTTCCTAGGTTTTACAATAGTATTCTTTTTTTAAAAAGATTTATTTATGCATACAAGAACTGGGTTACAGGCCAGAGGTGTGGTGAGATGATCCACCAGAGATAGAGTGAGGATCAGAACAGGCAGATTGACTGAAATACGCTGCTGAGGGGAGCAGTGGGCGAGGCGTGAGAGGTCTGCTGTGCCATGTAGTTATCTCCCTGGCTGGGGATTGAACTCGTGCTGCACATGCTGTGGACAGCTTCATAGGTTGCGTCTTAACCTCTTGCACCACCAGGGAGGCCCAATAGTATTCCTTTTTGTTATACTTAAGATTCAATAGGAATGAGCAGCACTGTTGGGCACAAGTGAGAGGATCCCCTAGATCAGAGCATCCCTGGCTGCCTCCCGAGTGGTACTTAGCCAGCTGCATTGCTGTCCAGGGGCCTTTCCAGTCACTGATTTCACATTTCACCTGAGACTCTGCTGTCCTTTACCTGGAGTAATACTAGAAACAATGTTTCTGCTTTCTTCCAAGATTTTAAAAGGGACTCAGTGGCATGTTCAATTGACAAGTATGCTAGTATATTTAGGTGGGATTTTAAAAGTGCCTTTTTGTTGTAATGCCTTAAACTTAAGGTGTATTGTCATTCTTTTTAAATATATTTATTTACTTTTAGCAAGGTTGTCTACATGTTTTATTTCTGCTTTCATTCTAGTCCAGTACTCATTTGGGAAAGATAGGAATATTTATTATCATTTCACCTTAGTAATAATTGTAATAAAAGTAATAAGGAGGAATTTCATTGCCATATATTGATACAATTTTCTGAGTCCCCTCCACTGGGCTACAGACATCATTTAGACACAGCTTATACTGAGCTCTCCCTATGTACTAGGCACTGTGCTAAGCACTGGATACACATCATATCATTTAATAATTGTAAAAACCCTGTAAGAAATTATTGTCCCCATCTTTCCGTTGAAGAAAGTGATACTGGTGCAAAAAGGCACCCATTTCTTTTAAACAGCTTTAAGTTTTATTCAAGCAGCAAACAAGGGACTAAAGAATGGTCTCAGAATAAGCGACTGGTAGAGGAAACTGAACAAGTTCAACCTTTGCTCATGCTGGTTATTTTTCTGTCTATTTTTAAAGTCACAAAGTGGTTTCCCTGGAAGTAGGGGTAAGAGTACAAGTACTTAAAAGGCAGAAGGAATTTTAGTGTTGGTAAGAAAGACTCACACAAAGTAGTCTTTTAATTTTTAGAGTAGGCACACATTCTTTCAAATGAATTAATTATCTGCAAATTAATTAAAATTAGTTAAATGGAGGCCCTACTCTATATCAATGGCATTTGAAGTGTCACAGAAAGAGGTACTCTTCAAGAGGCTAGTGAGTTGAGAAATTTTTTTCATTGTCTTTGGAAATAATTAAATTCATGTTTCAGTGTTAATACAGTGCCTAATAAAAAGAATCTTGTTCTTAGAAAGCAGGAGGGGACCTTAGAAGTCATGCAGTTTTGTCCTTTCCAATTAGGATGAAAATGAAGCCAAAACAATGACCTTGAGTTGACTCAACCATACCTAGAGGTCAAATTAGGTCCATTGAGAACATGCTTAGAAACAGACCCATCTCAGGATAAGGCATCAAAATTTATATTTTAAAATAGTGTGATTTTTTTCTTTTGCAAGTATAATTTTCCTATGAGAGATATTTTAACCATATTATCAGATTTATTGCTACATATTATACATTAGTATTTTTCTATATTAGAATATGTTTTAATAGCAATAGAATTTTATCTTTATAAATGTAATTATACATTTACTTATCATGTATCCCAAAGTAATTATAAAAGCTATTAAATTATTAAATTTAAAATATTTTTGTTAAAAGGGATTTACCCATAACTCCCAACCGAGAGACAGTATTATTAATATTCTTTTACTTGCCACTATGGTGTTGAGATTCCTCAAAACACCGAAAGTGGATCTACCATATGATTCAGCAATTCCACTCCTAGGAATCTACCCAAAAGACACAAAAAGCACAAGGGAATATATGAGCTTTGGTGGTGGGAGAACTATGGTGACCATATTTGAGGGGAGAAATCATGTGCTGTCAAAAATTAACAAGGATATAAGAAAAAGGCATGTTTTAAAAAATAAAATTCTGGAAAAATATTCTCTTATCATTTCATTCTTTCTCCCTTACATATATATTTTAAAGTTAACACAGTGATATATATATATATATATAGTCTGACCTTAGTAATGTCTCATCATATTAAATAATGTTTTACCACATGATTAAATATTAATATATTGCCATTATTCAGTTTCTGTTCATGTCTTAAACTAGTTTATTATTTTAGATGGTTCTGATATTTTACCTAATAGCAGAGACAATTCTAATAGCAAAATCTTTGTATTCCTATTTATATATCTTAATTTATTGATCAACTTCACAGTTTTCCATTTAATAACTAAAGTACCAATTTATGGTGATTTTAAGTATTAGTGTCCTCCCACCATTATATTATTTAACGCAGAAAAAAAAATTTCCTAAGACAGATATACCTTTATTTTTCCACCTACCTAATTTTTAAACTTCCATCCACAGTGTTTAGTTTTTAGACATTTGCTTTTATCTAAATAGAAAAGTTAAATATTTTACCAAAATACAAAAATTAAAGTATGTTAAAGTGATACACTAAACTTTTATGCTTTTATTACTTTTATCATAAAAATGAACTCTAGCGTGATACTATTTAAAATGAGAATGGAACAAAAAAATACAGTAGAGAGTACACTAATTAGGTAATAATTTCAGCATGTTTGTTCCCTAGAAAAGATAAAAGCACTTCCTTTTGGCTAAGCATTACCCCATTTATCTCCTATGAAGGCAACTAGGAGAGGCCAGCTCACTGCTCTTATATAGGATGTGTACCATACATACCTGGAGAAAAACAAGCACAGCTTTCCTTCCCAGATGATAAAATTCCATTAAAAGATTTACATCGGAGGCAGCAGTTAAAGAGAAATGACCATGGGGATAGTCACATTTTCATAAACAATTTCCATGTTCACGAGAAGGGCCCCTCTCTCCCTGTAATCCTGATATCAAGAATCTCATTTGTACTGTTCATAACTATGGGTTCTGTGGGTTTTTCAACTCATGCTTTACAAACAAATGAGCTTTTTCATTTGTTCCTAATGACTTTGGTTTCTACAAAGAGATCTTAAACTGTCCCCAGAGCAATCATTTTGCTAAAATGTTATTAGAACATCTTTACAAATTTAGCAACAAAAGGGGGTTTCATTAACAATGGAAATCATTGGGAACTGAAGGCCCTTGGCAAATTCAGTGCTCAACAATCTTGTTTTATTTCAAAGATGAGTATAAATGATCTTGTGAACTATTCATGGAGTCTTTATCTGGTGGGCGAGTAAGAAAGATGAGGGTTGGTGGAATGGGAAGAGACGTGAGAAAAATGAGAGCTGTGACCCGCGACTAATTAGCTTTGCTCTTGCTCTCCCCAGGGTCTGCATGAACCTTAGGCAGTGGGACCTGCTAGATAGATACTGCCCTGTTTGTAGGTGGGATGTGGGGATTTTTCAATGGCCCGTCAACAAGATTTAGCTTATATATGTAAACATGTATGTGTTTTATCTCATAATCAAATTTTTAGTATTATGAGACAATTGCTAACAAAATTGACCTACAGTTTCTTACAGGGCACATTCTCCTGATGTAGCCCTTCTTTTTTTTAAGATTGGTTTATTTTATGCATACAAGAACTGGAGTACAGGCCAGAGATGCAGGAGGTGAGAGGATTCACCAGAGACAGAGTGGGGAACAGAACAGGCAGATTGACTGAAGTACACTGCTGAGGGGAGCAGCAGGCAAGTCAGGCGAAGTCTGCTGTGCCATGTGGGTATCTTCTTGACTGGCTGGGGATCGAACTTGTGCTGCAGTGGCTGTGGACAGCTTCACAGTGCTGTGCTTAACCCCTGGTGCCACCAGGGAGGCCCCTGATGTAGCCCTTCTCGTAATCTGCAGCTGCAGCTTCAGATACAGAATTTGCCCTTTTCTGGGGCAGTTTGCTTCTAAAGCTTCCTTTGCCCTGAACACTTTTTGTTAGATTTCTTTTTCAGGATGTCCTTAAACCATTTTTAAATAAATAATAAAGAAATAAATTGAATGATTATTCATCATTCAATTGCTATTTTTTTGAATATTGTTAGTATGTAGTATTATTCTTTCAGATAAAATCATCTTTTCAAAAACTGTAGTAAATCAACATCTATCTTATTTTCAATACTATGAAGTTTTTGATTAACAAAAAAGCACCATGGTTTGATTCTCTAGAATACCACTGAATGTCAGAGACATCGTCTACTGCACAGGAGTCTCACTGCTGGATGAGGATGTCTGGGAATTCATATGGATGAAGTTTCACTCCACCACAGCAGTTTCTGAGAAGAAAATATTGTTGGAAGCCTTAACTTGCAGTGATGATAGGAATTTATTAAACAGGTCGGTCAATTAATTTTCTAGATTTATTTGAGTCATGAAAGCATGCTCTGTTAATCAAATTGTTCTGGAGCTGTTATTTCCTTAAATATATAGTTACTCTAAAATATATCTTCCCTAAGCTAAGGAAAATAGCCGTTTAACATGACTAAACTAGTTGACTTGAAAGATATACTTTTGTTTCTAACCCATTATTTTACATATATGTTTCATATATATTTAAGATACATATGTAAGAATGAACTTCACTTTTAAAGGAAGTGTTTCCTATAAAGAATTTTAAATGTGAGTTTGAAACATCAAACCACAATTATGATTTTTTCACCCAAAGATTTTTTTTTCAGAATTTAATATAATACTTAAAATATTATGAGTTTGGTAATTCTTTTGTAAACAGAAAATTGTTCTATTGACAAATTTATAGTTACAGTTTTCAATGGACTATCCTTTTGAAGAATACTGCAAATTAAATCATGAAAATTTTTATAATTTTATAAAAATTTTTAAGTTAATAAACTCAAAATGTACCCAAAATTCTATCCCTTCAGGCTTCTGAACCTATCACTGAATTCTGAGGTGGTGCTGGATCAAGATGCAATTGATGTGATAATACATGTAGCTCGAAATCCACATGGCCGAGACCTTGCCTGGAAGTTCTTCAGAGATAAATGGAAGATATTAAATACCAGGTAGATATAAGAGTTCAAACATTTACACTTGAGTAATTTACAGGTGACATCTGATAAAGGGCCAACTTTCTGTGTTAGAATCAAGGTTCAGAAAATAGAATTTAATTTTAAAATTAACCACTACAGTACAATTCATAATTATTCTAATAATTATATAATATTATGCATTTATTAAAGATTGATCACTGTAATTATATGTAAAAATGGGGAAAGTGCAAGAGGTTTCCTTGTGCAACTTTCCTGGAAAATCTATCAAATTGTCCAAACTTGGAAGTAATTTTGTATAAAAAAACTTCTGTATGATAGAAAAAGATTTCTAAATCATATATAATGGCTTTATAATCTAAAAACTTTTATTACTTCAGTAGAATTAAATTTCTCTTACATATCTCTTACACTATCTGTTACATAAATATCGTAAAACACCTGAAAGAAGGAACACTGAATCAATGTACTATTTTAGTTGCAATAGAATTCATTCCCAAGATTTCTTGTTTCATAGTAAGAGTTCTTCAGCCTCAATTTTACAAAATGTTTCATCAAATATTTAAATATATTGTAATAAATGATAATTTATTACTTTGATAATCTCTATGGTATTTTAAAATTAAGTTTATTATAGAGTATGTAAATGCTGCATGATCTTAAACTTGAATGTCTCTATAGAATCAGCAAACCTACTGTTCTATCTCTTAATTTCTGGTGTTTAAACTTTATTTTCTAAAAGTACACCTTTGTTGTTTGCCCTTGCATAAAGATTCAATTGCCATGGATGTGTCATAAAAACAATTTTTATCTACATGTATATCCTTGTCAGAAAGCACTGATTTTCCTAAAAGATACACTGACTTTTGTGGTGTTTCAGTTCGAATGTTGGGATGATTGGAAGATTAGAAATTGTTGTCATATAGTGGTAATCAGACAGAAGATGAAATTAACATATATAAATATTTCACTTAAAGTCATAGCAAACATGTGCCAGGGCACAAATTTCTTTAGAGAATGGTTTTGTACATCAGTTACTGTTATGCATATATAGTTTAGTCCCTACCAAAATAATGCTAGGTTTCTGATATGCCTAATTTGGCTCACTGAGTGTCCATGATCTTTAATCCTAAGTAGAAAGGTTGAGGTTTGAGAACATCTATAAATATACCACTGTTTATCCTGACAAATCAAATCATCTTCCTGTACCCTGACTCCTCTGTCAATCTTTGACATTGGCACACTGTCCCAGGTGTTCCTTCTCCCTGCTCTGAAGAGTCCCCAAGATCTTAGTTGCCCATCTAATCACAGTCACTCCCAGATCTCTGTCACTGACTCAGACATTTTACCTAAGCTTCACCTGAAGAGAGTCAAGTAATTATGCTTGTGGTACAAGGATTATCTTAATATTCCCATTAAAAATATGAATATTGGTGGGAGTATTTTCATGATATTTGGCTTCTAAGCATACAAAAGGAGAATGTCAATTCAGGTGTAACTAACCAAAACTGTGTCCTAATGATCCTCAAGTTGGTCTTGCAGCCAGCCGTTTTGCCTTTGTTGGGCAAAACGTAGGGTGCTTTAAAGTAGAAAGTTTAACAGTATTTCTTTCTCAGGGCTTGGATTGGACAAATAATAATAAGTCTTAAATTTAATTTTAGATTTCTCTAAAACACTGTGAACTAAACCTGGTGGCATCTGATGGTGTCCATAGCCCAAACTCTTTGTAGTCTCTCACTCCCCAGATGAATGATGTTCAATGCCCAGGGATCTCGGTGAAAATAACACATCTCAGGTCAAATGGAACCCTCCAGAAGGACTCTAAAAATTCTTTCTAGTAAAATATCTTTCTACCAGTATTTCTCAAATTATTATGTTAATATTAAGACTTCTTTGTATCTTTTGAGGTATGGAGAGGCATTATTTATGAATTCCAAACTTATCAGCGGAGTTACAGAATTTCTTAATACTGAAGGAGAACTCAAGGAGGTAAATATTTTAAGATTTGTTCTAATGCTTTTCTTTCACAAATGTGAAATTCCAGATGTACTTCAACCATTTTTTCCCAACAGATTTTACCCATTTATTAAACACACACACACACACACACACACACACCCTGATATTAAAGTCTTTACTCAGTGCATTACTTGCAAAGATATTTTTAACATGTTAAATATGAACTATCTGGGAGAGAGATTTCAATGTAATGGTTATCAAACTGAGAGAATCCAAACCCATTCTCAAATTCTTTGATCCAATCAACTGCTCTTTAACTGTGAACATACATTCACATCCTGGAAACAACAAAACTAGGCTCTCAAAAGAACTCTGTGATTGACTGCAGGGGCTGAATTTGGTGTTTGGTGTTGAGGTGTAGAAATTGAGTCTCACTGCTATGAAGTCACCTCTATACAGACAATGGATAGATAACTGGATGTGATGATGAAGTTTCTTGCTCTCTAGTTCTATTAAATGGAATGAATTCATATATATGTGGAATGAATTCATATATATGTGGAGTATATCTGGAAATATATAGTGGAATTAATAGTATATTTAATGTTTGTACAGCCCCAAATGAAAATTGTTTCAATTATTTAAGGATTAGTGTGCAGTTGGCAGAGTATCTAATATTTTTCATTTCTTTCTCTGGAAATTTGTAACAGCTAATTTTTTTTGTTCTTGTTGCTGTTTTTTTTCCCCATGAGTTCATAGCCCTAATGAAGTGGGGTATGAGATGGCGAGGGGTAGGTTAATAGGTAGCTAAAATGAGCGAAATATGGATACTTTTGATTGATTTAAATCAGCTGGACTTCAGAAATCTCCTACTTTCTCGTCTACTGCTCTCCGCTATAAAATATAGCTGAGATTTGATATTGAGAATCATAGTCTCCGCAGTTTTTGCTGATGGAAAGTCTGATGCTGTGACCCAGAGCTAATCACTCTGAGCAGCATTCTCTCAGCAGCAGCAACCCTGGCACCATCCTTAATATCTTCCAATAATGCCCAGTTTCATATGATCATCTCCGGTGCACTAACTTGGATTCTTCACACTTTGAGCTAAACTAAGCTAAGTCTCTGATTGTAATGATTTGAAATTCAATTTTTATCCCTGCTATGTGTGTTTCCAACCCTGAAGGATTTGGTTTTGAAAATTCCAACACGTTTTACTATTTTTTTTTAATAAAGGAAGAAGCTAAATAGATTTCTTTCCTATCTGTAGGAAACAGAAAGAAAGAACAGTAAATTAATGATTGCTTTCAATTTTCTTAGTATTTAAATGAAGCACATCTAATTCCATAATTTTATGTTAAACAATCTGGGAGTAAAACTTTCCTTTAGTCACAACCTGTGAGTCATTACAGTGAACATAGAGGTGAAAAATATCTTCCCTCGTCTCCCCTCCACCTCTCCTCTGCCCTCCTGTCTCCAACACCCTTCCTTCTCCGTCATCTTGCCTGTGTTTGTCCCATTTACTCTCTTTATTCCTGCTTCTGCCTCGTCCTTCCTTCCCTCTTTTGCCCTCTAAGTCTGCCTTTCATATTTCCCTTGTTTCTGTAATACCAAGGCCATGGGAAAACATCTTTTCAATGGACATTTAATTGATTTTATCATATAATGACCGTTTTATTTTACATATTTCACGGACACATTTTTCACACTTGGCTTGTCATTTCAAATGTTCCAAAATGCCCTCATAATGAAAGATACAATTTCAAAACTGAAATTAAATCGTGGCTTTCATACTGTTATCTACAAAGCTGCCCACTTCACAATACAGACTCTCCTTGGCATGAGTGATGAATCCCTTCATGACAGAGCTGCTTGCTCTGACTTTCTAGTTTTAACAACTGGTGCCTGGAGCTTTTCCTGCATTCATCATTTAATCTTCATCTACAAGGTTGGGAACCAGTATTGTCAGGTGGGATGGGCATTTAATTTGTATTGTTGATAACTCCCATGAATATAAAGGGACTGAGGAAATTCCAATCAAATTCTTCCATAACCAATGACCATGTAAGCAGAAAAGCCAATATACTCCCTTGAGATATGGCATGTTCTCATTTCAAAAGTTTATAGATCAAAAGGGAATCAGCATCTTTATGAATTTTAAAAACTTATCTGAGATTTTAATGATCCCCATCCGCTGTACAGTCATTCAGTAGAGAAACATATTGTTCCACGATTTCTTCCCTAAAATTGCATTCCAGTACCTGAAACTAGCAAATTCCTTTTAAATATATGGCTCTGGCAATTTGAACAGTATGAATCCATGAGACAGTTCATCATATTTTCAATATCAAACTAATGGACTCATAACCTCATGGAAGATCAGAGGCCATACTTTCCATTCTAATGTCCATTAAGCAACTCTCCCCACACCCATTTTCCTGCCTCTTGAACCTAATATACAGCACAGTTGTAGAAGAACATTACCCTGTGCTTCACAGATATCCCATGAACAGTTTTAATGCTACAAATATAAAGGGGCACTAGCCAATTTTGTTCATTTGTGTAGATACTATGAGTATACTATGTCTTGTAATTTATTCTAAGAATAATTTGTTTAGGTTCTGGGTACCGTAAAAGTTTTTTAAATGCTAAACGTTTTTTTTTTTTTAATTTTATCATTGCTCTATTTTTCTTTCAAATTATATTCATTGGGGCAAAGTGTTTTACATCCTTGTATCTGCTTTGGGGGTCATAGGTTATGCAATGCTTATAATCAATTAACAAACATGCCTAGAAATGTTATGCTAAGAGAATGGAGCACAAAGAATTCTGACATCTAACTAATGTTATTTTATATACGTGTCTAAGCTTATAACATTCTTAAATGAAAGCATAAAATGGCATACATATTTTAGGAGTCACAATTAAAAAAAAAAAGCTTAATAGCCATACAGACCTAGCAAAGAGCCATAGAAATAAGCAAACTGGAATGTCAAGTGCCTTCCCTCTGCCCACACCTTAGAGGGCATGGGGCAGCGCTCTGGGAGGCACTATGATCACTCTCTAGGGCCAGATTGAAGATTATTCTGCCAACATGTTTGCCAGAAGACCTGGGGAGGAACATGGAACATCAGATCAATTTATGCCAAGTATGGAGAGTGGACCAGATGCTGTGTTCTGATGAATGAGCTGCTCCTAAGATGCATGAGTCACCTCAGGCTCTCCAAGCTCAAGAGGGAAGTATTTAGTGTGTTTAAATAGTGGTTTAAGAAAGCCATACCTTATATGTGGAATATATAGAAACTAAACAAAGGGTCAGATAAAGACAAGTGTAAAAATGAACCCTGGAAAGCTGACTACAAAACTGTAGCATCCAGAGCTCCAGGGCGGGGAGCAGTGGAGGAGGTGAGAACTGAGAAAGGAGCACTGTGGACTATGGTGGTGGACTGTGGGTGATTTGTGGCAGGAGCACGATGGTAGCTATTCCTGAAGGGGGGATCCTGTACCTCCAAAATGCCAACAGTCATTTAAGCAAATGTTTCCTTGTTTGAAAAAGAAAATGTATCCTTAGACACCCACCAGCTATATGTTGTAATGAGCGTTCTCTTGCAGATTAATTTGACCTACTATCTTTATCAATAACATGTTCATATTCAAACCCACAGTTTGCCTTTGAGAAAGACTTAAGAGTTTTACTTGATTTGTTCAGGCTGGCTTGCTACCTGTCAAGAGGTCATGAGTCAAAGTTGTGTAAGGGTCGCTTTTCACTATTACTATATTCAGTGACTGCCTAGGGAAATATGTAATAATGCAGAGAATACTTTAAAAGAATCAGGTGTGTTTTTTTCCCTGATTGACATATATTATGCAAATGATGCCACTATAGTATACACCTGTAACATACAGGTGTACACTGTGATATACATTTTATAATCAATTAGAACACAAAATTCAAAGCATAGATCAACTTGTATTATTTGTGACTTCAGGGATGCAGACTGAATGAATCTGATTATAAATATGTAAATGCAAATGAACTATTGGATTGGATTAATCTGCTACAGTTTAATATGGAAAGCTGTCTGGAGGTTCCTCACTCTACTAAAAATGGAGCTACCATGTGACCCAGCAATTCCACTACTAGGGATCTACCCAAAGGACACAAAAACATTGATTCAAAAGAACACCTGTACCCCCTATGTTTATTGCAGCACTATTTATAATATGTAAAACCTGGAAACAACCCAAATGCCCCAAAATAGATGATTGGATCAAGAAGATATGGTATATATACACAATGGAATATTATTCAGCAATCAAAAAAGATAAACTCATGCCATTCGCAGCAACATGGATGGAGCTAGAAGGAACTATTATGGTCAGTGAAATAAGCCAGAAGGAAAAAGAAAAATATCAGTTTCACTTATAGCAGGAATATAGGGGAACCAATAAGACATCAGTGTAAAAAAAAATAACAGTACAAACACAACAAAGCAAAAACAGACAATTACAAATCAGAGACATCCTGCAGGGGAGGGAGAGGGATCGGAGGGAGGGAGGAGCACAGGGGACTGTGGTGATGGTGCACGGGTGCATTGGGGAAGGAAATTCTATGGGGACTATACCTGAGGGGGTGGGCGGAAGCAAATATTGTTTGAAAAAATAAAATAAAAAAATTATAACCCCCCCAAAAAAATTCTGAGAGCATAAAATTAAAATATATATATATATGAATCAAGTGTTTCCATTAGACTCCCTACTTACATGTATACATATTTCCAGATATGTGTGTGTGGCACTGTGCCTGCACTATTAGAAATATTCAGTCCACTCTAAGCCCCCTTCTTTTCTTCCTCTCTTTGTACTATATATATATTTGATCAAGTGTTGAGTCAGTTTTAAGGATAGCACTGACAAAACTCTATTATACATGGATGTTTTACATGTATGTTGGGATAGTATAGTGATTTCCAAGTCTTGAAAAGGATCTATCAATTGCTCTGCTATGTGTTTATTGCTAATACTGCTGGGTACAGAGTTTTTGGGAAAGTGGAGAACCCATCAGAATCATGTAATCAAAGTAACACTCTCATAAACAACCAAGTTAGCCATGAACCAATTTCTTGATTAGTTCAGAAAGTATAATTAGCTGCACTTTAAATGCCCCTATTCCCATTTCTCCCTGTCCCTGAGCCAATCTTGACGCACTACAGTTCCCTCCTGGTATAGCTTCCGTGTGGCGCCCACCTTGTGATGAGTCACACCCCACACTAATTATACCACATAATGAATCTGTGTTGCAGTTGATTTTTCACATTTGTCTATTAGGTTTGCAATTGGTTAGTTGCCAGTTTCTTGAGACATACCAAACATAATGGAAAACTTCTAGTTTTTAATCTTGCAGTAAAATCCCTGATTATTCCCAGAATATGAGGACCCTTTAGAGAAAATCTTACAGCCATAGAAACTGGGACAATATGTTTTAAAATTATGATTCATTTTAATTAAATGCTCAAAATCTCAAGCTAACTGTGACCACATTCCTCTCTTATTCTTTCTAAATCTGGCTACTCAGGTGTTTGCAATATCATTAATCACACAGTATTCACAGCATGGGAGTTTTTCTACACCACCCAATATCTTTAGTAATCTTTTGCCTTCATAGTCATAGCGTCAAGATCTCATTCTGCTTATTGGAAAATGACAAAATAATTTTCTCTCTGGAAACAAAAACTTAACTTTAATCTTTATGTTCAGTTTTTAAGGTTATTTTGTATACTGGCTATCCCCAGTAATTAGAATGAGTCTTTGTCACAACCCCATCACCCCATTGTGAAAAGATAAATAAATGTTCTAATATTTATTTTTGAAAGAAGCTGGACTTGGAGCTATTTATACTGTAATGTCCTCTCTTTTCCCTTTTTGCTTCCAAAAGCAATTACATCATAGGCTCATGGACACAATAATTAAATTGCATTGTATTACCAAGCCCCTCCATATATTAAAAGCTACCTTCCATAGTGATTGTGGCACTTTTGTTTCAAGTAGATTCTTGTCCTATATGTTGATCATTAATTCATTTTAAAATGACATGAGTCTGTTCTAGGAACATACATATTTGAACTTTTTGGAATTTCTATTTCCAGCTAAAGAACTTCATGAAGAACTATGATGGAGTAGCTGCTGCCTCTTTCTCAAGAGCTGTGGAAACTGTCGAAGCCAACGTGCGCTGGAAAATGCTGTATCAAGATGAGCTGTTCCAGTGGTTAGGAAAAGCTCTGAGACACTAATATGTTCCCCTTATAAACTATTCATCTCAGAATTTTGTAAGAAGATCCGCTTTTTGTGGAATGAGGAAAACTTACTATGTGAAAATAGCTGGATTTTCAGTGTTAACATGTGGGAGGAATTTTTTTTTTTTTAATTTTTGGTTTGGGGGGAATTTTTGTTGTCGTTTCATTGTTTGGTTTTTCTACTGGGTATTCTTCTCTACAGAAACTCCTGCAAGTGAACCTAGCCATGATTGCTTCAGCTGTACATTCCTTGCTGTACAGGACCAACTATGATAGTGGTGCATGTCGATGTTGCAGTCAGTTTGGAAAACATATTCAGAATATTTTTGTGCATGGTTGTATGGTCCTGCCTTGTTCCAGCATGCTTATTTAAAGTGTCCAATGTTGTATGTGAATATATGTTTTATCTAGGATGGGCATTATGCAAAAGCACAAAGATTATCTATGACAATCAGTGTTGCAATGAAAGAAAACCTGAAAAATGAAATTGTATTCTTTGTCCTGGGCAATGTGAGAGATAAAAAAGCCCTTTAAATGATTACTATCACTTATTTCAGCACTTAGATTGTCAATAATTACTGTGTTACTCATTTTCTTTGAGTTAAAGCCGTGTATACAGTAAAAAGGCATATAGATAGTGTATACATATGTTTATGTGCAGAGGGAAGCCCCACATGTATATACTATGTTGTACACTGCATATGTGCAAAGAAATTTCTTCAGATAAAAAGAAAATTTAACTCTTTTTATAAACTTATGCAAACTTTGAAAAAGCTTAAAGAGTTTATCTCAACATTATCTTTCCTGGAAATTTCCTTACTAAATTTCTCAGCTGTTACAGATCTTTTCATCTATTTCCTGAACAATGGTCTATTCTACTGTATAAAAATGAATTCAAACAAAATCTATGTATAAATTAAACATTCTTCTAACTCTCTAAGGAAGTGATAGCCTCACATCCTAAATATAGTTTTGTCATTATTTTGGTCAAACTTCCTATTGCATAAAATAATTGTGCATACTTAATAATTACCAGTGCTGAGAACGTATTTGTTTTTCCATCTCATGCAGGGTCAGAGAGTTAAAAACTCTCAGTGTGTGCTGGTCTCTGTGTCTGTGTGACTCTAATCCTCTGTCAAGTGATCATACCTCAAGTGGGTCTACTAGCATTTAATGACCTTTAATGCCAGTTGTGCCATCCATCAAGATGAAAAGTTACTTTTCTTGATCAAAGATTTTCCTTTGTGATTAACAACTCTATTGTACCTGGGATTTTGGAATAACTTCTTTTTATGGCTCTGTTCTATGTATCACAGTGTTTTTAAATATTATTCTCACCCAGTAGGCCAAACACTGATCAGATGTTCCAAAATTAACATATTTTATAGTTTGCCATTATAAAATTATTATATAATATTATGTAATTTATGTTATAAAATACCAGTACAATTACTACACATAAGACAATGTTTGTGGAACACTTTCTATTTTCCTGAGGTTTTTCTCTAACTCTTCTTGCCAATCATAGAGACAAATACATTCTAGTTCTAATAGTCACTTAACACTGGGTCAAAAATAGACATTTTAGAAACTAGAGCCATTCATTTATTATGTTTGTTGTAAAAAGGAGCAATTTCCTAATTTATAGACCAAGTCACCTAAAACATTATATATTTTTAGTAATTAATATCTATCACCTATAACTATATTTTTCAGCACTTCAATGGAAATACATGGATTTTAAATATTCTATGTGGTGTTAATAAGATATAGTATTGTTTAGCAAAATACCTAAACATCATCCCACCTAGCCCAAGTGATGATGGTAAATTGCTATAAAACATATAGGAAATCCTAGAAGGGTAAATTCTGAAATATAAAAATAATAAATTTCACATTGCCATGCAGGTCCCAAACATATATTTGGATTCATGTTCATGTAACAGAGAAGATAATATATTAGAGGTGGATGTCTTGTTTGTTTTGTGTTGTGAATTACTGAAAAAACCTAGTAGATGTGACAATCTTTTGAATGATGTGATCATTTCAGATTTGAGTCAGAAGGGCTTTATAGTTCTTTTTTCCTCCCCATTGTTAATATTCTCAATCCTCTTTCAGCATTTTAGTGGCCTTGAACAACTGGTTTAGCTACAATGACAAATCCTAAGTGTATAATTACCTGCAATGTTCAATACCTCAAATGATACTTGTTCAGCAGTATAGTAGTACCAATGGCATTGAGATGGGATTTTTGTTTTACATATTTTTCAATAATTTATCCTTTTCAATGTTGAAGATTATATCAGGCTTTAATGTTTTTTATTTGTGTAAATAAGTAATATTTTCAAAGAAATAAAATGACTGATGCTATATCTTGGAATATTCTGTAAAATGTAGTTATAAAATTCTATTTTTTACATAGAATTCTTATCTTTTTTTTCTCTTCTGTCTCTGTTTTGCAAAACAAATGTGTGTGAAATGGCAAATTATCCAAGGGTCCAACATCTAGGCTTAAAAATTAATGTGCCAATATATGTACTCAGCAAAAGGGTTTCGATTAGAAAGGACTAGATTATTTACCACACTGAGTATTAAATATCTCTAGGTAATTTGTACATAAAAGTTTCCCCCATTTTTATACCCTTGATCTTAAAATTTTATGTTACCTTTGAAGTTTTTTAGATATACAAATTTAACCTCTAATGCTAATATTCACAATACTAGATTTATTCTTGAGTTTTCATAGTATGAATTTTAGCTGTAGCTTGAACTCTCTTTGGTTTATATTATTTCTAGGATATTTATATCATTAGAATAAGATCTTTGTGGTAGTGAAATTTACAAATATTATAACTGCAATGTAGTACAAGGTTAGTTATATATCATCTATTTTTAAATGGCATTTCATTTTCAAAAATCTTTTACACATGTTGTTTTATTTGACTCATAAAAACATGATATATTTTAATAGTCATTATAGTCTGATGAGAAAACAGAGACTCAGAGCAGCAATGTGAATCATTTAAAATTATACTATAATATTTTGGGGATGGGGTATAACCTATGACTTTCAGGACAGTCTTCCTACACCACATTTTATATACCTCTACCCATTGGATTATTTGGAGATTTTCCAAATACTAGAAGCAGTATAAAAATACATGATTATGTATATTTATAATAATTTTATTAAATGTAAAGTTTGTGTTTAACTTGCAGTGATGTCAAACAACTAGATGGAAATCAGCATTTATTTTGGTCAGTACACATACCCAAATATTGGTGCAAAGAATATAATTTACTGATTGTAGTAGTTTCCTTTTTCATATTTTGATAAACATTATTTAAGTGTGTGACCTTAAAATACTGTAATTTGCTTTATTTTCAACAGAAATTTCTCTGATTATCTATAAAGTGGCCAGCCTACAGATAGAATGATGTCCATCTAAGTCATTAGAAATATTCAGTAAAATGTTTATAAATCAAATAAGTTGTGAAGAAAAGAAATTCTTTTGCACAACTGTAGCACTGGATTAGATGCAGGGAAAGAGGTTGATAAAGAAGTTTAATATACTTAGCTATAATTTACTGATTATAAAGTTTTAAGGAATTCTTTTCTAAGATCTATTTGCTGAGTCACTTTTACTTCACAAAGCATTTGTGAAAGAGTTAGGACCTGAAGACTTCATGTCACAAAAATGGAATCAACAAGGAAATAATGAGCCAATCAGAATAAGGGCAGCATGAAAAATAATTACATGCTATAGAAAAATAGTTCAATAATTTTATGTATAATATTATGCAATTATTTTTGTACTCTAGTTCTCTATGCTTTCATAGCACTTCATGAAATTGTCATCATATGGTTTCACAACACTGTTTTACAGAAATACGTAGCATTTATAAAGTGTAACAAAACCACATAGTTTAAACTTATAATTAGAAAATAAATTAGTATCAAATTTATCTTTTAAAAAAGGTGGATGAGCAATTTAATAATATAAGTATGTTATTTTAACCTACTTATATAAAAGTAATTCAAGTTTTCTAAATTGGTTGTAGCATATATTTGTATTCTATATTGGTTGTAGCATATATTTGTATAACTTTAAGTTAATATATTCTTTAAAGCAGGTTCAACAATTCTTATTCTAGGCAATGAGGTATTTGTTCAAATTTCTATATGTAATATTTTGAGTACAAACGTATTCTTGTATATTATAGAACTCCAAATTTTAAGTATATGAGAACGACCTTCAGTTCAATTGCATTGAATTAAGCAGGGAGTTTGGTTTTATTCAGTATTTTGTTTAATGTGGTTTATCATCAGGAAAAGTCTAATAAAAGTGTATTCTAGTAGCTTTTATTTTCAACTTTATGAATTTTCATTTTAAATGTTAGAAGAGAAACTTTAAAAGTGTCTTAAATATTGAAAACAAGCAATTGGTAAAAATATATTAATATGTTCTAATGTTAATTATACTCATATGTCTAACTATGTGTATCTTATTTTTAGATGTTTTTCATAAATAACCCTACTGAGAGGCAGTATGATTTATCCAGATTTTGACTTTAAAGGCAATTTTATTTTGAATGTACAATATTTTAAAAATAATGCATTGACTATTTTTCTTTCTGAAATTCCTAGTTCATGTATCAATGCACTAAGCTAAAAGTAAAAAACAACCTTTCATCTGGGTCTGAATTAAGTTTATTGTTCAGCCTTAATGTTAAATGAGTTAGAATAAAGGGGGAAAAAAAGAGAATCTATTAAATGCCAGGCACTTATAGACATTATCTCATTTAATAACCCTGTGAAGTGTCATCAATTAGTCAATGATAAAACTTGAGAACAGGAGTTCTAGCAGTTTACATGACTGGTGGTAGGTATTAACTGGGATCAAAACCCAAAATGTTATATGATCCAAATTTGTCATTAATCTGTCTCAACATGCATAGAAATATGATTATCCATCAAGACTAGGCTCTATAGGAGATTTGAATAAATAGTACACCTCACTTACTATTACCATTATCTCATTTGAGAAAAGTGCATTCTGATTTGTCACTCACTTCTTAACAAGGTTACTTTATATAGTCTATAAAATTTTTCATCAAGATGTTTTCCATTAGTGTGTTGTATAGGGGGTTTTAAGCTCTAACAGGTAATTAACAGATACTCTAGCCAATGAGCCATGTGAAGTAAGTGAAAAGAGAGGATGGGTTGCAAATTCACTTTTCATCACTGGACCAAGACATAAAAGTTAAGCTCCTGTGCTGCTTGTGGAGACCTGTTAGTCTAGTCAGAACTTCCTTTGCTTAGTGATGAGGTCAGAAAAGTATTTCACTCATTCTGCTTATAACTACAAATGGACTGCAGCTGCTTAATTTACTTGAAGTTACCTTTTCCATTGGCCTGCTGTGTGTAGACACAGTTTAAGATAACTGCTTTGACCTAGTTCTGCACAGGTCAACTTGCTTCTAATCACACACATTTTTATTATGTCATGGACATACATGAAAGGGTGAAATGTTTTGAAGCAAATATTACTATGGAGTTAACAACATCTGCCTTGAATGTGCAGTGCATTTATTTTCTAATTTAATCTTTTAGCAGCTATCCTTTTAACCCCTCATAGATTCACAATATTATGCTTGCTCTTATATGCCATTCTGTTCCCACCTTCACATAAGATATGACCTACTGGGTGAGAACATTCATCTCTGTTATTCAGTTTTACCTAAAACAGGTTTATCATCTGTCAT